TCCTCCAGCACTGGGATCCTGCACCACCCCAGGGACACCTTTTTCTCGCCCAAACCCAGGGGCAGCGAGAAGATCCTGGTGCAGGAGCAGCAACTGCTCCAGAGCCAGGAAAACCTCGGCTTCCTCCTCCTCCTCCCTGTAATGCGGTGGGTATTTATTATGCTGATTCCTCAGAAAGCGAGGGCTTAACTGCAAATTACAATCAATAGCCCCAATCCCCGAGGGGCAGGTTCATCATTTAGCAGGCGCAACCAGAGGAATTCTAAACTATTTGCCGGCCATAAATCCTGCCCGCCGCAGCCTCTCGGGCCGGCCCCGCACGACACGCAACGGCTTCCTGGGGTGCCCCGTGTCGGCGTTTGAAACAATTAAGCTGTCACTGCGGATCACGACTCTTATATACGGCCCCGAGCAGCGCTTGAAGGTGTCAGCGTGATGGGGCGAGGGAAGCTGGCTGAGGCGACCCCGCCGCAGTAACTGTCTCTCATTGAATTAAATGAATGTATTTGGAGCCAGAGTCGCTTTTTATTACCTCGCAAACGATTCCTGACTAAATTAAATTATAAAAGGAGTGTTCAGCCAATCAAACCTGCTTGATTGCCTGGAACAGGCATTTTAAACAGAGCACGCCTCAGGCCGCCGCTGTTTCCAGGACTAGATGGAGGGTGGCTGATGGGCTGTGTCAAAGCTGATCCACCTCGATTCACACGCGGGGCTGTGCTCCGCGAGGAAAGCGGGTCCAGGGCCAGGGCAGGATCAGTGCAGCCCTCTGGGAAGCGGGTACAGCACTACCGTAACTGGCTGAAGGAGAGGAGGAACGGCAGGGGCAGCAGTGCAAGGGAGCAGCTCACCAGCCAGGCTGCCAAGGGCAGCTCCCTCTGAGCATCGTCCAGCAGAGAAAACGCAGCGTACGGCTCTTTGGTGAGGGGAAAACTACAGCTCCTGTCTGCAGCTGCCCCCATCCTCCCAGAGAGAAGAAAGTCTTGCTCCAAAAGCTGAACAAGGAGGCTCTGAGTACATCTTCCCTTCATGAGCTCTTCCTCCGAGAGGCAACGAGGGGTCTGGCCAATTCCATAAACCTCAGGAGGCTCCGGTACAACCTTACTGCTGCAGTTGATTATCCCCCCTTGCCCTTCAGATCTTGTTTTCTCAGGATTTGGAAAGATCTCCAGGCGAACCTGCTCCTGCACTGAACTGCAATGTGTGCAGCTTTTAACGTTAGCGCAGAACAATTAGGGAAGCCGTCTGGAAGAATGAACAGCGCAATTAAATGTAGGCATTTTCAAATACAGCTATAAACTCGCCTGCAAAAAAGCCACTCTCACTAAAAAAAGCTGTCAGCTTCTTCTGGCTTAACTATTTTTACTTCATCCCCATTCCACATTTAATCACGTATGGGTTCGTTTCGAACAGGACAAACCACCCAATTTCCTAAATGAAGAGCAAGGGTAATTAGACGGAGGGTTTTCTTAACGATGGCACGCTAGACTGGTCGATTTGAAACCCAAACACACCGAGAGCTAAGCACTGACTAACCAAGGACACGTTTTAGCAGGTAACACTGGGCATTTCAGCCTCACACAAGCATCAACCACTTCCCCAACTTCGAACAGGACAAACCACCCAATTTCCTAAATGAAGAGCAAGGGTAATTAGACGGAGGGTTTTCTTAACGATGGCACGCTAGACTGGTCGATTTGAAACCCAAACACACCGAGAGCTAAGCACTGACTAACCAAGGACACGTTTTAGCAGGTAACACTGGGCATTTCAGCCTCACACAAGCATCAACCACTTCCCCAACCCCACACGGCAGCCGGCCTGAGGACGAAGCCCCGTCAGCAGTTCTGGCCGCCCGTCCGCACGCCGGGGCTTGGCAGGCCCCTGGGTTTGGAGTCGGAAAAGTCAGAAACTCGGGGACAAAACGCAACCAGAAGAACTCTTTGTAAGGGCAAGCTCTGCCTGTGCAACCTTCAGAGAAAATTTAAAGGGCAAGTTAATGTGCTGGAACAGCATCCCACCCAATTCACACAGAGAAGCGCCGGCGAGCTCCAGCCAGATCAGGCAATAATGTGGCTAATTTGGAGCTCGCTCTCCGCTCGCTGCCACCGCGGTCGGGATTTGCTCTGTGCTCCAGCTGTGAACAAAGCCAGAGACAGGGAAAGGAGCTCACGGAGTTCAAAGTCACCTTCTTAGCTCGGGCATTGTGTACAACATCTATTTATCTCCCATCACACTGCATTAAGTCCTCAGAGCCCTCTTGCAGCCGCTTCACAAGCTATTCCTCGCTACCACCTCCTGCAACAGCATCCACGATTCCTCAGGTGGCCCAAGGTTAAAAGGAAAAAAAAAATAAAGAGAGTTAGAAAACACACCAAACCATCTGCCCGCTTCAGACGGACACCTACGGTTCGCATGAAATAGCAATTTTTATTTTCTCAAATAAAATAATCCTTCCATTTCTGCTCGATCCATTTGTAAGGGGTCGGGAGGAGCACAAAGGAGAGGGAAGGAGCCCTGCTCAGACAAGTTTGCAGTCAGACCTGTCCTCACAGTTAAGAATCCACGGCAGACCGAACCATTTTCCAATGAAAGAAAATAAAAGCTACTGGCAACTCTTGATCCCAGAAGGCAAGAGCTTTTCTCTATCAGGCACTCTGAATTGTTCAGCATCAGTATTCAAGGAATACTGAATAATACTGAATAATTCAAGCATGATTAGAAAAAACCCAGGTTTCTGATGAAAAATATCCAAACAAGCATCAAAGTTTAAGGGGGCTGGGGTCAAACCCATAGCGCGGGGTGGTACTTTGAGCTCAGAGAGCTGTTACTGGAATTTAGGGGCACAATTGAGGAAGGAAATCCCCAGCAACACTCTCGGGGCACTAAAGGGCAGGACAAGAACGAAGGAGGAAACCCACCAAGACAGCTCCTCGACGAGGGATATGCCAGAAGTGAATCCCCACTGCAGCCTCGGGCTCTTTGCTGCAGTTTTGTCAGGTTAATCAGTCATTAACAGTCATTAACAAGGTTTTGTTTCTCATCTCCAGCAGCACCAGTCGCACCAGGATGTCCTACAAACCCTACTGCGCAGCTAAGGAGACGCATGGGGCATCACGGCTGAACGTTAATTGAGGTGGGACCGTCATGAATTCACCAGGGGTTTGTCTCAGGAGCAGAGACTGAAGCCTCCAGTGGTGAAAGCTGAGCAGACAACGTGCCTGGTAAGCACGGGAGGGAGAACTTTGCCTCCAGTTCAGATCGATACTTAAATTGAGTGAATGGACAAGCAGCAAAGCATCAGCAACTTTCTCTCAGCCCCAGCATCCCTGTCCCAAAGCACAGGGTCTGATTTGTTCACACCAACCTGTAAACTTCCCACCTGTTAGGCAAGCTGCTGACAGGTTAACCCACGGATCCATGTGCAAACCCCACCAGAGGCAGGACGTTGCTGGCTGCGGGAACTGTGTCCTAGAAGACCTGACTCCCTTTTTTAAGAAACATTACTTTGCCTGAAACACTGCCAGATGGAAACTCATCTTCCCCATCCCCACCTGCAGGTACAGTAGCCTCATTTTCTGCCTTCCTCCAAGAGAAGGAGCTTCACGGAAGCTTTCTTGCTTTCTTGGCTGTGGAACATGTCTTCCTTTTTCTTTTCCCTTTTTTTTTTTCATTTTCTTTTTTGTTTTGTTTTGTTTTTTTTTGTTTTATTTTGCTTTTAGGTGGTCAGTTCCAATTCTAAAGACAAGGCCAGGCACCGGTAAAATGGGTTACTTCTTTACAATCTGAATGACATCTTCATGCTCCATCATATGGGTCAGGCCCACTCTTTGAGGGCTGTATTTTGTGCTTGTCCCCTTTAAAGCAAAAGGGGGAGAAGGGTTAAGAGCAGACCAGCCAGAGACATCCGTGGACAGGGTTTTCATTTGCTCTGAAAACACTTACCCACACCAAGGCATATTTGAACTGGCTGGCTAGCGATCTGTGAATTCGATGGCACTGCAAGAGAGACAGACAGACAGTGGGTGAGCCAGTTCCATGACTTTGTTGTTTGCAAACAACTTGCTCGACATCCAGGAACTAGAAGCAACTCAGCTCCGTGTCAGAAATTACAGCAGGGACTTTAGGAGCCAGTTAACAGTGCTCGGAAGAACACAGAACAGACACACAGAAATCGTCAGTCCACATAAAACCCCTTCCCACAACTTCTATAAGCTTTAGGCATTAAGTATTTTTTTTTTTTTAACCTAGGAAAGCAACCTGAGGCAGACAGAACCAGTAAAGGTAATAAAATCAAACAAGGACGCGTCCTGAGCTTCACAAAGCACAAATCACAGCAGGCTCCAAGAGGAACCTGCCTTCTACAGACAAGAAAACGTTAAACATGCAGAGAAATTACCACGTGCTCCACAGAGGCCCCTTTCCGTAGAATAATGGCATCTGTAAAGTCTGGTCTCTCTGTGGAAAAGCAGGAGGGGTGGGGGAGAAAAGCATTGGATTTCCATCAAGTGTGTTCCAATATGCTGACACCACCTCACATGTGCTTGTGCTTACGACTCCCAAATTCCTCCTCCTGTTACATTTGCCAGCTCCCAGAAGGAACAGGTACCCAGGCACTTGAAAGCATCAAATGAGTTCTGCAGATGCTGCAGTACCCACAAGAACAGTTACCAATGTCAACAGATTGCTCACAATCCACCTGCTCCAACTCCATTCCAAACACTTGACTTCAAACAAACAAGTCAAAACACACCTGCTCAAGTAAAACCGAATCGCTCTGCAGTTCTCTGTAAAATCCCCAAGATTTTGCATCTTAACAAGCTCACAGAAAGTTCTTTAATCTCCTCATGTCCACCCAAGTTCGGTCACAGCTACTCACAACCAAATGGGAACATGTTAGAGCCGTGCCTTCATCACTGGGAGACGCTGCAAAGTGAATTATAAAGCAAAAGGAGGATTAAAGGCACTCCTGGGTCTCAGGAGCCCTGCATGGAACAGGAGACCTCTTCTGGGTGGAGATGGGCTGAGCACTTCATCACAGAGCGCACATCATACCGAAGAAAGCTGCGACCCCGCACGCTTTATTTCCTTGTCTCATCATGCAAAGTCTTATGAAAATTCAGCTCTTCAAGTGAAGATAAGACAAGGGCTGTGTGGGCAGCCTGTCTGCCTTTGAGGAGCAGCAGCCCTTCGCGCCTTTCAAACCTTCCGTTCAGCTGATGGTCACTTACGTCCTCGTTTCTTGGTGTAGATGCAGGTAAGTGCCAGGTATTCCCAGAGCTTCTCCAGCAAGTAGTCCAGGTTCAGCTTCATGCCGCAGCTGCAAAACAGCAGGAACACCTCCATGTTTACTGCTGCTGTGATTCAGAAATCCAGAACAAGGCAAAATGTCTATTAAAGAACTAGCTAACAAGGGGAAAAGTCTCTAATGAGGCCAGCAAAGGAAAAACACACGGTGAAATAAATAGGGCTTTCAGAAGAGCAAGCAGCTTTGAAGCAGCAAAGCCCCAGTCAGATTTTTCAGCACTTCTACAAGCTAGACTGGCTTACTCTGCCATGCAGACAGTGTGGAGAAGCCCAGCAGCTTCGCTGGGGGAAGGAAGCCTGGAAAAAGCCTCGCAGTGGCTCGGTTTCTCACTGCAGCAGCTACAGGCAGCCCGGGGAGAAGCCCCTTGTTGGGAGAAGCTGGAGAAAAGGGTGTGAAACGAACCCTCGCACCAGTCAGGCCAGCACATGTGGTTCCTACCTGATAACAACACTGTGAGGTCTCCGAGCAAGGCGATCCACTTCCTCCATAGATATCTGGTCAATCTTGTTATAAACCTAAGTCAAAGGAAAAACAACACGCGCTTTAGGAAGACAATTGAGCAGCGCTGCAAGGAAGGAAGACGTGTACATGGAGGTATAAAGAAGGTAGTTCCAGCCTCTGAAACAAACTCAGATCCTGTCAGCCAGAGGACAAGCCAAGGCTCTTCGTAAAAAAAACAGTTAAAATTCACAAGGGTAAACGTAAGTCTGGGCCTTTTAAAGTTCTCTCTGCAGTACGAGTTGCAACTTTCTGCAGTACCTTTGACTTCACTAGAGACCTGGTTGCTATCGGAGCCGTTCAGTGACCTTTGGCACAAGGCACCAGCAGCGCAGGAACAGAAGGCTCTGGAGCGTGGTAGCAAACCCCGCGGCACCAGGACGGGCAAGCTTGTGCTGCTTCACAGCAGCCACCGCAAGAGGGCACAGGGAACACATGCAGAGCGTCACGCTTACAAAAAGCTCCCCGTGGAGCTGCGCTTCCACCTCTTAAACCCCAAACTGTTACTGCTTTAGGAACAAGGAAGAGCCAGCGTTTCCTCCAGCAGAGGAGGGAGATGCTCGGCGCAGCAGAAGGCAGGCTTTTTCCAAGATACTCACGTAGAGGCACGGCATGTAGACCCTGTTGCCTACAACCACGTCGATGAACTCATCAGGTGAACAATCCTCTCTGAAGAGGACCTCGGCGTTGAAGATTTCTGAGGTGAACGTCGTCAAGGCCCAAATCCCAACACATTCATGTGCTGCGAGCCAAGAGGCTGAGCTTGCTTGTGAAAGCCTGTTAACCCAGCAAGCACCAAAGACCCAGCAGGGCTGTCCCACAGCAGGTTCCGCTTGACTCACGAGCTGCTGCTGGCTTAAGGGTCTCCCCTTTCAGGAAAGGATACTGTATTCATGAAGGATGAGCTGCACGAGCTTCTCAGAGCACTGAGTCAATGTGACAGTTGAGTTGAAGGAGATCCCTCCGCCCTTCTTCGGCTGCAGGAAGGCAATAAAGCAACATAAGAACAGTCTGCAAAATCCACACACCCCCCTTCCAGTCTGTCCAACAGGCCTTGGCTTCGAGTAGGCAGCCAGGCACAAGCTGCACCTGCAGCAGCGCAGGAAACCTCACCTTGAAGTAGATATTTGGTTTGCTTTTGTTGAGCCTGATTCCAACAGATTCCAGTTCTTTCTCCAGCAAGGCCCTGCAGGGACACTGCGTGTTAGTAGCTGTGAGACTGAGTACAGCCAGGTGACACCCACATCTTTTCTTTTTGACCTTCATGTTGATATGGCCTTGCCGAAAGCTTTTGCTCCAACCTAAAAACCACAGCTAAGGCGAGACAGAGCCTGTGGTGGAAATCTAGGTTGACATCCTCGTCTCTGAACAGCCATCCTAGGGGAATGATCCTTCAGCTGAGTTGCCCAAGACAGTTAGCGAGCACGTCTCTAACACAGCACAGCCTCCATCTCATCCTCAACAGCTTAAGGACCGGTTCACTAACAAGCACGAATACACCACTTCATGAAAACGGCAGATTTTCTGGGCATGTGGGAACCCCCAACACTGGCCCACCGCCCCACAGCTCCACGTGCCCAGCAGCACACGCTCACCTCTGTACTTCACCCTTTGTGGCATCCAGCATCATAATAACAACATCCGCCGTCCTGGCCACGGCGATCACCTGCCGACCTCTGCCCTTCCCTGAGAAGAGAGGAGACAGCCGGGCATCAGCAAGAGAAAACAGCTACAAGTTCTGCACCAGGCAGGGAGTCCTGCCCTGCACAACTGCTTGGGAGCAAGGACAGAGACTCCACAGCGCTGCACTGGCTGCAGTGACCTGCTGGGGGGCCCCTAAGTGAGCCTTATCTGGTTCATCCATCCTGTCCCTACCAAATGCTCTTTGCTGCTGCTCCTCCACCACAGGTTACAGGAATTAGCGTGTGTAAAGCCCTCCTCTAGGGGGCTGCACGGGTGGAGGTGACATTGCTGCCAGCAGGACAGATGTCCCCACGCATGTGCAACAACAGCAGCTCCAGGGAGCAGAGACAACTGACGCAGCACACGGACACAGGCCCCTGTGCAGTGGTTATGCACACTTTCTGGTCAAAAAGGAGAGAGACCTTATTAACCAGGCTGTGCTCCTCCAAGAAGAGAGCATTATGAGATTCTCCAAAGCTTTCTACGGCATCTTCTGACATGACTTTCCTAAGCTTCACAAGGCATCTTCTGCCATGACTAACCAATCAGGACAAGACGAAGCACAGGGTTAAAGCCAACATCTCTTCCCAGAATCAGGAGTCATGGGAGGACTGGCAGGAACTCAAGAAATTAGTCAAGAGAGGTTACTGTTTAGCTGTAATTTCCCTCTCCGCCTCTCTAGCATCTTTCTTTAGATTTCCTCTGTACCACAAAACAGATGAGCAAGATAACACTCATGCAAGAAGGTGAGAAGTGTCTGGCTTGCTTTGGCTCCCACCTCCAGAAAAGCATCTTTCTGCTACATATAGAACCTTACGTGGGCTCAGGGATAAGAATCGTGCCTCACGTAAGACCAAGGACTTCAAAATTTGGAAAGCTGACGTAGGAACTACTGGCCCGGGAAACCTGCTAATGCCTGAGACACTACTGAGGGCAAATCCCTACTTTACATGAAACGCAGAGCTCCTCCAACCTTGTGCTGCTCCTTCGATGATTCCAGGCAGATCCAGCAGCTGAATATTGGCTCCTTTGTACTGAAAAGGAAAGAGAAGGATGCAAGGTTGAGAGCCTGGCGCGGGGCATCCGAGCTGCCTCGAAAGCCCCAAAGCATGTGCTGGGGTCCAAATCCTGCAAGAGAGTGGGACCGAATGAACCCGACAGAGCAGGACAATTCGCACAAAGCCAAGGGCTCTGTTTTGTCACAGTGACCTCCGGAGCGTTTCCTACGAAGCCGCGTTCAACACCTCTCATGGCGGTACACGAGGTCCTGACCTACAGCACCACATGGCTGCAGTTTGACAAAGCACCAGGAAAACAGCACAATGGTCACGTTATCCTGAGTCGGTGAAATGGAAAGGACAGGAAAAAAATCCAGCAACCCAACCCTTCCTTTTGCGGTCTAACGAGAAAGCACAGTAACAAACAAGCGCCAACCATCCCTCAGAGAGACGGATCAGAATTATTTGGACGCGCTGCAGGTCTTATGGTACCGGGAAATAACGGCAGACTTTCATTCATGGGATCTGTAGGGGTACTGGCTTCAGAGCTGTTGTTGCAGTAAAGTCCTCAGCAGCGGCTTTTGCAACTGGCTGCAGTTCATGGCTGCGCCTGGACACATCACAGTATTCGTGTTTGCTCTAACATCAACACAGGTACTTTCATTATTTAGCTCTGCTTTCGACTCTGACCCCGATTTTCTCATTACTCTTGGACACTTGTCAGTTTGAACGCCCTTTTACCACTTGGTTTACTGATGGATGCTTAGGCCACCACTAATAAAACTCCTCAAGGACAGGAGCAGTTGTATTTTCTCTCCAAATTGATCACAGTACAGATTGCCTCTTTGAAAGCTTCATTAAAAACAAATCTGTCAAGGTTTCCAGCCATCTGGCCAATGGCACCAACAGCAGTTATAAAAAATTCAGCTGAGGATCGTCGCGTTGCTCTGGTCAGTCGAAAGCCCCCTGGCTCAGGCAGTGAATCCTGAGGAGTGATGTGACCCAGAGAACTGCAGGTTGCAGAACACCTGATACCGTAAACCCTTTAGATCTCCTGAAGTCTAAAGCAGAAGTAAGCAGAGAATTTCAGATATCACCGGTTCTTAGTGGTAGCACAAGCGTAACTGTGAACAGACGCGTTTACATGTCTGGGTTTCTCACCAAGGAGGGGAATCCTACTTACTTCTATGACTCCTGGGATACACGTCAGGGTTGTGAACTCGTAAGACGCAGCTTCGCTGGCAGTGGAGGTCATCAAACTCAAAAACGTGGACTGAAAGGCAAGAGACCTGCATCACTAGAGATCCACAAGTCAAAGCACCAGCAGAACGAGCAGCAGCAAGGAGTCCGTCAGCTTTCAGAAACTGGGTGATGGGACAGCCAGCACTTCCACGGAACAAAAGTAAATCCTGTGCTCTCACCCATTTCCTCAGCAATGCTGGGGCTGGGCAAGAGTGAGTTTTGGGCTGTTACCACAGGGCACCACTGCTCAGAAGGCAGAAGAGCGTTTCCCCTCGCTCTAACTTCCAGCCCTCAGCAGAGAAAAACCTTCTGTTAACTCACGGCAAGGAGGTAAAAGATGAAGAAAAGACGGATATCTGCTTTACGGGCACTGCTAACCACAGACTGGAAGCACACCTGCCACCTGGTTATTGCAGTCACTCACTGACCTTACCCACAGAAGGAAAACCGATCAGTGCCACCCGGGCATCTCCAGATTTCATCACATCGAAGCCTTCTCCTTTGGCGGCCGAGGATTTGGAGGGTTCTAGCAACTGAGCTCTGTATTTTGCAAGCTTTGCTTTCAGCAGGCCCAGGTGGTACTCGGTGGCTGGAATAACATAAATGCAACAACCAGCTGTCAGAAAGTTGCTGATAATTCACTCCTAGGAAAAAGAACTTTCCTAAAAAGTAACACCATGGATCACAGTCCATGCCTTAACCACTGCCACACATATAATCTAACCCCGAGGCGTCCTGTAACCTTTTGAAATATTGAGAGCAAACCTTCTGGTGTCCTGCATGGAAAGTCAGACCTGAGGGAAATAAGCAGCCAAAAAAAGTCCTGGATAAAAGGAGCAAAGCCAGAAGGAGAGCAGCAATGAGTGGGTGAAGGGAGCCAGTAAGGAGTGAGAGATCACAGGGGGAAGGGCTGCTCCTGGGCAAAGGCGCCTCCTCGTCACATTCAACACTCCAAAAACGCAGGAGTTTTTCTCTGTCTCTTGACAAGTTTTAAAGACAAGTTTAACTTGAAGCTCACATGCGTGAAAGTACTTCAATAACTTACTCTTAGCAAAACACTTGAATTGACACCTCACACAGAAAAACAAGAAGGTAGTTTCCCTCTGTAACGGGAAAGGGCAAGAAACCCAGGGGATTATGAGTTTTACTCTTTCTTTTCCCTCATGTAAAGTCTCTAGAAGCAGCAAGGAGCTGAGGACCTGCCCTGGCAGATCCCCATGGAAGCTCCTCTCTCCAGCCCCTCTTTAAGTGAAAGCATTAACAGCCTTAATGAACGCCAGGTCGGGGTGCAGACTGCCCTGGGCCCCCTGCGCCGGCAGAATTGGGGTTCCTGGCCCAGCTCCGAGGGCATCCGGACCCCACCTCCTCCAGGCGTGCGGCCCCAGGTCGGGGCATCGAGAGTGGGGAAAGAGGTCGGCTGCCAGGAGGG